TATTGGAATTTGGTCCCGAAACCCTAACTTTTCATTGTGACTTCAGTTATTGTCATAATTATCCTATGGAGAAGATTGAGAAGGCACCTCTCCTGATTTTGTATAGGGAGTCAGATGCCCTACAAACACAAACCTCCTCTGCCCAGTGCCTACCTGTGGTGCAGTTCTTTCTGGCCTGAATTTGCAAGTGTCTTCCTGTCTCCACAGAGTAGGAGCAGAGCAGCTCAGACTCCCACTACAGTGGGAGTAGATGAGAAGGGCCAAGGGGTTTCAGGATGAATTCAATATCATTCTCCTCACATAGGAGCTTGGTCACCCTGTTGTAATGAATGGGATGCAATAATGGGTTTGAGACATATTCCTTTTTGTATTATTTCTATACAAGAGCATGCCATCAGGAGACAGATGACCCTGAGACATACTGGTTGGGACAGACTGGTTGGGATCAGCTGTAGCTCCAATGCAGGAATGTGGGACAGAAAATAGGAATAATAACCCTGATAAAAGAATATTAGGAGTCCCTGAGGAGGGAGGAGAGAGCTGAATCACAGTCCAAGGAACTTGTTCTAGCCAGGGGATCCAGGAAAGAAAACTTATAGAAGATATTTTTTGTACTGAAATATAATTTAAATACCATAAAGCTCACCCTTTTAAAGTGTACAACCCAGTAGTGTTTTTTATATTCCCATGTTATACACCATCACTTCTATTGAGTTCAGGAACACTTCCACCACCCCAGAAAGAAACCTCTTACCATTAGCAGTCACTCCCTATTCCTCTTCTCCCAAATTCTGACAGCCAGTAATCTATTTTTCATCTGTATGTATTTGTCTATTCTGGACATCTATAATAATAAAAGAATAATATGCTAGTTAGACCAGACAGCCAAACAACCTTCTGACGTCATTCCAGACGTCCTTCTGGACAAAGCTGCCACAGCGGGGGCTGAGGCAGAGATGGTTAGGGGTGATCAGGCAGGCAGGCAGGCAGGCAGGCAGGCAAGCAGTTAGGGGCATCAGGCAGGCAGGTAAGAAGTTAGGGGTGATCAGTCAGGCAGGTGAGTGGTTAGGGGAAATTTGGCAGGCAGGCGGAGTGGTTAGAGGCGATGAGGTAGGCAGATGAGTGGTTAGGAGCCAGTGGTCCCGGATTGCGAGAGGGATGTCCAACTGCCGGTTTAGAACTGACCCCACAGGGATCCCTGCAGGATCAGGCCTAAACCGGCAGTTGGACATCCCCAGAGGAGTCCTGGATTGTGAGAGGGTGCAGGCTGGGCTAAAGAACTCCCCCCCACTCTGTGCATAAATTTTGTGCACCGGGCCTCTAGTTTCATATAAATGGAATCATACAAGATGTGACCTTTTGTACTGGTCGTCTTTCATTTATTAATCTTCACCCAAGGGTATTTTTTTCCATCGAGTTTTAGAAAGAGTGGATGGGAGGGGTAGAGACAGAAAGAAACATAGATGTGAGAGAGACACATCAATTGGTTGCCTCCTGCACACACCCTGATCAGGGCTGGGATTAAGCCTGCAAACAAGGTACCAGCCCTTGACAAGAATTGAACCTACGACCCTTTAGTCTTAGGACCTATGCTCTAACTACTGAGCAAAACTGGATAGGACTGGTCTTCTTTCATTTAGCATAATGTTTTTTTAAAGATTGGTCCATATTGTAGCTTGTAGATCCCATTTGGTTATCCATTCATTAGCTGATGGACATTTGGGTTGTTCCTACTTTTTTGACAATTATGAATGGTAATGTTATGAACATTCATGTATAAGTTTGTGTGGACATATGTTTTTAGTTCTCTTGGGCACATACCTAACAGTGGAACTGCTGGGTCATATGATAACTATGTCTAACATTTTGAGGAACTTCCAAACTGTTTTCCAAAGCAGTCGCACCATATTACAATCCTCCCAATTTTTCCACATCTTCATCAACACTTGTTATTATCTGTATTTTTTTTTATTATAGCTATCCTAGTGGGTTTAAAGTTTCCTTAGTGACTAATGACATTGGCATCTTTTCATATACTTATTGGCTATCTATATACCTTCTTTGGAGAAATGTCTATTCAAATCCAAGGCTCATTTTTAATTGGCTTATTTGTCTTTCTATTGTTGAGTTATAAAGGCTCTTTATTCTGGATACTAGACCCTTATCAGATATGTGATTTGCAGATATTTTCTTCAGTTCTATGGGTTGTCATTTCACTTTATTAATAGTGTCCTCTGAAGCACAACTATTTTTATTTTGATGAAGTCTAACATAATTTTTTTCTTCAGTTACTTGTGTTTTAGGTGTCATATGTAAGAAACAATTTCCTGGGTCCCTGAGTTCCTGCCTAGGGTAGAGCTACCCAGAATATCAAACCACCCAGAGCACCTGTGTTAGGTGATTCATGGTCAACAAATAAACTCTTGCTACAAGTTACTGAAATTTGGGGGTGGTTAGTGTATGGGAACTTGACATACAACAGCTGGAAATGCAGATATGGCAGAGAAAATGAACTACCCAATATAAAGGGCTGGGACAATTGGCTCTCTGTATAGCAAACAGCTTTAACAAATCTGATCTCTGCTCAGTGCCCCATTCCAGGTGAATTAATTACATAAATATGAAAAATAAAAATATAAAACTTTTAGAAGAATATACATGGGAACGTCTTCATGATATCAGATAGGGAATGAAAGGCTAAGACACACAAAGTACCAATCAAGTGAGAAAAGACTGAGAAAAATCAAGTGCATTAAAATGGAAGACTTCTGAATAAAGACACATAAATGTGAATACAAGCCTTTGAAATATATACCAATAAAGCATCAGTATGCAGAATATTCAGAGAACTCCTATATGTCAATTAGAAAGACAAAACATTTCACGAGAAAAATGGACAAAAGTTATGAAGGGGCATCTTATAAAAGAAAAAACTTGAATAGCCCATACCTATGTGAAAAGAAAATGTTCAATCTCACTACCTGTCAGAGACTTATAAATTAAAAACCTATATAATTACTAATTAATTACAGTATGACAGTCACTGCCTGTGGTGGGTGTGAATCTGTGAATCACAGCCAGCGATTTGAAAAAGTTGTGAATCTCTAGGGAAGCTGAACCACTCAGGCCCTCTGTCCAGGCCATTTCCTGGGTAATGGAATTGGTGATATGCTGTACTTCTCCAGTGTGGTGGTTCGTTCTGTTGCTCTTCTCACCTTTCCCTTTGTCAGGAGTAGTTCATCATTTTGTGAAGACAGTCAAGCTGCAGTTTCTATCAGATCTACTTCAGCCCTTTCCTTTATTCTCACTGAGAGCAGTTCTTCTGATATTAACCCTTGAACACTTTCTAAGCTCTTATGGAAAATTGATTTGCTGTGATGTTGAGCCACTGAATTTAAAAGGGGCCTATAAGTGTTAATAACATATCAGAGAGCCCCAGACACTACTCTACACATTTTATCAGCTTTTTAAAAATTCACTTGCATTAGTTCTTATAACTCTCACATTAGTTCTGTGAGCTCAATTACCATTCTCCCCACTTATAAATGAGGGAGCAGAGGTGCAGAGGTGGGAGGCAGAGGCAGCAATTCCCACAGCTGTTTGGCTCTCTTCCAGGTCTACACCATTTACCACCCAGGCAGGAAAGGGTAGGGTCAGGTTTGTTGGGGATGAGGTGACTGAATTAGACACACAAGTCATTTCCGCTGGCTGAATTCTCCAGATAAACATTTTTCTGGCTCACACAGGCACAGTTTGTTTATTTCCAGTTCTTTGCTTCCTCTTAGTAAACAATGGTTTCCTATTGTCTGCATTGTTATGAAGTACCCAGAGCATTTATGGAACTCAGTACCACTTCCATATTTAGAGTACTTTTCTTAAATTTTTTTAAAATTTTCAATTAAAGTTGGCATTCAATATTTAGTCTCAACATGGCTTCTTCTCTGTATTATCTGTATATATAAAAGCCTAAGCAGCCAAATGACTGAATGACCTAACAACTATTTGACCAGTCGCTATGACATGGACTGGCCACCAGGGGCAGACGCTCAATGCAGGAGCTTCACCCAGTGGTCAGTGTGCTCTCACAGCAGGAGTGCCGCTCAGCTGACCAACTTTAAGGCTCTCTGTTTAATTTAGTAAATTGGGCCTCTCAGTTGTACTCAGAGGTGTATTTAGAAGATTTGTCCTTTAATAGGTGGTGGTGTCACTGTCTGTAGGTTTGGAAAGATCTAGAAGAGCTTGGGCCACAACCACATTATGCATTTAAACCTGACACATACCCCAATTTACCATACCTTCAGAGTGTCAGAGCAGTCAGTCACAAATACACCGTCTTATAGAGAGTCTGCTTTTGTATTGAATAGTAAACTGAAATTATCCATAAATGTCTTCTGTCTTAGAAATAACCTAGGCTCTAATTCAGGGTCCTCTCAGTTTGGCGAGGCCTCAGCTCTTCAAGCAAAAGTTTCTTGAGTTTCAAAGGGATTCTCTGTGTCCAAGCTTTCCCGTCTCCCTTCATCCCAAGCTTCTTATTCTGAAGGTGGAATTAGCTGGGTCCAAGGAAGCTCTGCATAAACTGCCTAGTGGAGCACGTGTAAGTCCTATTCTCACCCCTTCAGAGCCCCTCACATGGGTTTCTACGAAAGGGTTAGAGGTACCAGATAAGTGCATATCATATATAGTTACACAGCCATGTAGCTATAGATATTTGTGTGTTGGGGGGAGGGGAGTGGTGGTGGCTTGTGTGTGCATTTATGTAAAATCTCTGGACTGAGGCTGCTCTTGACTTTTATGGAGCCCCCTGCCCAGGATATTTAAATGACAGACTTTATGTGGTGTCTGAAGGGAATTTTTTTCACAGCTGCTCCGGAAAATTGCTTTTCAGGACTACTCACTGAGAGGTCGAGTTCCAAAGCGGGATCAGTTGGCAACTGCAAATGGCAATGGGGTCCATCCATTTTTCATGAAGATATAATTAGACCACTGTCTGCCTCCCACAGGTTCAGCCTTTGGAAATGAAGAGCAGCCGGCCCTGAAAGCAGCCCTGCCTCCCAAAGACGCACCCAAGGGAGCTGGCCGTGTGGCCCCTCTGGCAACCTCCAGTGTCACTACCCCCCGCAGGAGTTTGCTTCCAGCACCAAAATCCACAGCCACGCCTGCTGGTAAGACTTTTTGCATTAAATGTCTTTGGAAAGTCTCTGTGCACATCAGTTTTTTAGATGGGATGGTAGATGAGTTTTAAATGGCACTTAAAGTTAATAATAATTATTATAATCCTATATAATAAAAACCTAATATGCAAAGTAACTGAACGGTGGAACAACTGGTAGAATGATCGGTTGCTATGATGTGCACAAGACAAATGCAGGAGCTTCCCCCAGTCAGGGGGTGGGGGGGCCAATAGCCCTGCATCACCCCACAGAGGGAGGCGACCGGCGGTGGCAGTTGCGGGGGGCTGGCCAGCGGGCAGCACCAGACTGGCCAAGGCAGGTACCAGCAGGGGCCTCCCTGATCGCCCAACCAGTCACCCCACAGATTGGCCCTGATTGCCAGCCTGTCCTAGGGACCCAATCTGTGCATGAATTTCATGCACCGGGATTCTAGTACCAATTATAATACCATTGTTTTTAAGGCACACTCATTTTTCATGTTAAAATTATCACAACTGCCTCTCACTTTTTTGACTGTAAAATAAACAAGAAGCAAGCTATTTTAGGCAGATTGGCATTTGTCTCAGGGAAGCAGGAGCTGAGAAAATCATTGGAAGGACTATGGGAGCAAGCTCCGGGCTGTGCCTCCAGGAGAGAGTCCCAGACCCCCAGGGCACCAGTTCCTCTCCAGGAACCCAGGATGCTGTTGCCCCTGCTGGCTCCAGGCTTGTGTCCCAAAGCTGGGATCCTGGGATCAACAGCTACCTCAGAAGGGCTGACCCAGAGCCACGCTTTGCCTGCTGGATCCAGACCATGCCTTGCCCCTCCACACCTATGAAGCTAGTGACCGGACACAGGAAACTCACCTGAGGCAAACACAGGACAAGCAAAGATGTTTGTCAGTGAAAACTGCTGGAGCACACACTCATGCTCCCATCAGGTTGAGGGTTAATGGGGGGGGAGGATAAGGACACATTTGTAATACCTTAACTAATAATAAAAAAAAAATGGAAAAAAAAAACTGCTGGAGCAAACCAAGTGTGGCCCCTGCCCCTCTGGCTCCTCCCGTATCTCACACACAGGTGTCTGTGCACCTGCAGGGATGTCCAAGGGTGTAGTTAGCCTTCCACCTTCCACACATAGGAAGGCTCACTAACAGGGAGGGAAAATGGATATTGGGCCCTAATTCACTGTAGAGCAAGATCTGTGAAGGCGAGACAGTAATTTGTTTTGTTCCCCTGCCTTAGATAAGGAGACCACTGTGGAAAAACCCAGGGGAAGTGGAATTGAGTTATCAGGTGTGAACTGGGAAAACAAAGCAGGAAGCTCATTTTAAAGATTTTAGAACTTTTCTTTTAATCTAACTCCAGCACCTGAGGCTTCCTTGTATTTCAAAATTATTGTTGTTAATAGAAATTTTATTAGTGAATTTTAGTATTTCATCTATGCCAGTGGTTTGAATTTCTAATTTAAATGAAATCTAGTTTCTAAAAGGAAGTCAGCTTCCACACTGCCTCATTTGTTCATCATCAAGCTAATTTAAAAAGTTGAAGGTAGGCATGCAGGATACAGTTAAATCCCAAATAATTGAATTTCTGGGAACGTGAAGTGTTTGGGTCATTTTAATTACTTGGGTTGTGCCAACCGAACTGTGGTGCTTTACTTCCTTCCCTTGGTGACTGCAGCCTAGTGATGGTAACTCTTGCACCTTTGGGTCATCTGCTCCTTGCTGTCATCCTGGATTGTAGATGCCACATACGCCCACAATAGGACATACCCTGGGTGTCCTGGGGCTGCCTCCTTAAACTCGATTCCTGGTGTGAGATTTTTTGTGAGAGACTTTTTTTCTGATTCATTTATTCAGCAAACATCTTAGTGCTCGCTTTAAGCCACAGGTGACTCAGATTTGAGGATAATTAGAATCGCCCTTACCCTGGAGGGGCTCAGAATGAGGTGCACGGATTTGTAAACGAATAATTAGAGTGAGAGCAAGTATTTGTAATCTTACCCACTGGAGTCCAGTTCATTCCAGCAGACAAAGAATTTATAGTAAGATGGACTGAGAAACAAGTGAACTGAGAAAGCTTAAACTAAAAATAAGTATGTTCTATTATTTATTTAATCCCTGTTTGTTTTTACTTATTTAATTATTTTCTAGTTTATTTTGTATTTAATGACTTTCTAATTTCAGAAAAGATCCAAGATAGCATTCAGTAAAGGGACCATAAAAACATAGGTACAGGGATAAAAATCCAAGTAACACAAAAGAGAAAATCCTAGGCTTGGAGCTTCCTGACCACAAGGGCAAACTAAGAAACACAATCAGGGGAAGAAGAGCGTGTCACGTCACCCAAAGAGAAATTTATATTCTAGCACAAATTGTTAAGATTTTAAATCTTTGACTTAAATAATTGTGGTGAACAACATAATAGACAAAAACTTAAATTGTATGTTTTCAAAACATATTTTCTGATAATGAAATAATTAGAAATTAGTTTAAAATGTTGGGATAGGAAATGCCTTTCTCAACATGACATGAAACCTGGAAACATTTTTTAAAATGATAGATTCAACTACACAAAAATTTAAAATTTTTATGAAAGACATAAAACAACAACAAAAGACATCATGGAGGTAAGAAGGATGATAAACAGATAGAAAATGCTGCAATGAAGTGTTAATATGCATGCAATTGAAAGAATACCTGAATATCAATAGGAAAAAAATACAACTTAATTTGAAAAATGGGTAAAAGATATTCATGAGCAATTCACACAGTGGAATTGCAGAGTGGTCAATGGCCATAAACATCTGAGGATTCTCTGGGTACCATTCAATATGCTTAGGGATTTGTGTACTCTACCTTGTTTAGTTCTGGATGAAATGGGGTTTAGGGGAATTAAGTAAACCCCTTACTCAGGGTCATATAGCTTCTATGGAGCAGAGCAGGCATTCATCCATGTCGTCTGACTTAAAGCAATCATTCAGAGTCATGTCCCTGTGTACCTAACCGTGGCTGACACTGCTGCTTAGATGCCCTTACTCAGAGGGAGGCCAATTAGTAACAGCCCATTGAAATAACTATCATTGGAAATACTTCTTAGAGCTTGAGTTCTTCTTTCTAGGACAATGCTGGTGACCTCACATATGGCTTCCCAGTTCACCTATAATAATTCTGTAGTCTGTCCATGTCCCTCCTTCCCTGAGTTTTCAGACACAGGCTGAGAGCTGTGTTTAAACATGTTTGGAGGTGTAAAATATGACCCACTCCTATAATATTGTCTTCCTGTAAATTAATGATTATTGCCCCATTGACACCAATATGATGGCAATGGAAAGTGTTGTGGGTTTAGTGCTAGTAGTAAAAAATATATATGTTAAACATCCTCTGCATGGCTATGTAAATGGAAGGTTCTCAAGAATTGTAGAAACTTAGCCTTTGTCTTTCACTGTTTCTCCCTTTGCCCTCTCCCCGCCACCTGCAATTTTCATGAAGAGCTCTCCTGTTGTTCACATGTCAAGCACAAACTCTCTTGGGCATTGATCCGTATTTTACATGAATAGTTGGCTTTACTTCAAACTGGTTTGTAGTTGTTGTAACAAATAGGAAAATATTTTCAGATGAAAATAGTGATCTGAAGATAAATTACTTCTTGGTCAACAGGCCTTCTGATTCTGTCATGTTGACATGATGAATTATAGAAAATAGAACTCCTTTATCCAGCCTAAGGTATAGAAGGATTTCCTGTGGTTATATAGAAAATGAACAGCTGGTGTCTTACTGTTTGGGTTCCTCTCTATCTGCGGGGGCGTGAGGGGGACCCCTGGGACTCGTGAGGCTGCTATGCTACAAACTACAGAAACCACTGTACCAGAAAAATTAATTTTACTACTTTAAAAGCAAGTTTTTATTTCTGCATTCAATTCCACAAATTTTGGCATTTGGGCACATATTATAATTTAAAAATACAAGCAGTTCATCCACATCATCAACATGTGTTTATTGAGCACTTTCATATGCATGTGGTCCAGAAAGAGCTGCTCTAACATTTTAAAGAGGAATGGAGAGGGAGAAAGATATAGAAATATGAATGATGAGAGAGAATTATTAATGGGCTTCCTCCTGCATGCCCCACACTGGGGACCGAGCCTGCAACTGGGGCATGTGCCCTGAATGGGAATCAAACCAATGACCTCTTGTTGCATGGATGACACTCAGTCCACTGAGCCAGCAGCTGGGCTCTGGGCACATCTTAAATGAAGAAATTGAGGAAGAGCTTTCAGACCTTAAACATTCTGCTTTGAGAGAATGTCGGGTCTAGATGATTTGGGGGTGGTTCTTACCCTTGCATATAATACAAGCTCCTTTCACATTAATAGCTCTAAGAGCATGTTTTCCTGATAATGAAGGAGTTGTGGCACCTTACAATGTGGGAGCCCACGTTGATTCAGGAGCGTCCAGAAACCTCCCTGGAGTGGGACCTGTAGGAGGCAAGGTCAAAGCAGTCAGGCTGCACGGGCTGTTTGGGGTTACTATGCACTGTCAACTGTGTTCTCCCTGAGGCTGAGTCTCAAATGCAGTCACAGCTTCAATTATTTGTCACTGTGAAGCCAACAGGGGAAACTGCAATAGGTTGGGATAGAGGAGATAATAGGAGAGTAAATGTGTTAGGAAGCATCTTTGGGGGAGAAAAATTAAAGCTATCATTTTGAGACCCATTCCTTTGCATGAGGTCGTAGAGACAGAAAATATAGTGGGGTTGGTGTATGGTATGTGTGGAGCCATGCATTTCATCATTCAGAGTCATGTCCCTATTTGCTGTTCTATCTGGCCAGCAGTAGGAAGGTGCCTAGTCCCTCACAACAGGCCAGGAAGCACTGAAAATCATGAGCTGTGACCTCAAAGTCAACTCTCAGTCATCCCAGGCACTGAGGAGTGAAATCTGGATGGGCATCCACTCACTCAACACATGTTTACTGAGCACCTTCTTTAGGTTGAGCACTGTGCTGAA